TCCTCATAAATACGTTGGACATTATTGTAAGTGGGGGTAATGTGCTGTCTACGTAGTCCAACACTAGCAGTGGTTTACCTACTTCACGCCGCTGGCGAGTATTGTATTTTGTTGATGTTATAAAGATTACCATTTCATTTCCAACCTCAGTTTTTATTATTCCTCATTCAGTAACCTTTCCTAGGTTACAACAAGTGTCTTCTACGAACCCGTTCTCATATTGTCCTGTTTTCGTTCAAATTCTGCTACGCACTCTATCCACACGATTTCGGTTGATAATTGATAGTTTAATAATTTCTCATCATCATCATCAAGAGAAATACACACACACACACATACACACACACACACACACACACACACATATATATATATATATATATATATATATATATGATAGGATACAGAACAAGTAGGAAACAGATCTCAGTCTAACATGTTTCACTTAAAGCTTCGTCAGAGATCAAGATAGAAATGATAAAAAATAATTTTATGTTGTGTTTGACTATTTCCTATTGGCTGGGTACGTGTCACGTGTAATGAAGTAACAGATAATATTTAAATATGCGTGGCAAACTTTCCTGACGCTAAAGAGTGTAAAAGTTAGTAAGATGCAGTAGGATGTTTTGATTGGATACGAGTCATGTGTAATGAAGTAACAGATAATATTCAAATTAGTGTAAGAAAATATTCTGATATTAAAGTAAGTGACGCGATTCAGGATATATATATATATATATATATATATATATATTTGGTGATAGATGAAACTCACATCTATCCAACCAAATATGTTAGCTCTATCCCTGATATTGAGCGCTTTCATAAGTACTGCGCATATAATATATAAATAATTATACATATATATATTTATTTATATTTATATACACTTTTCACACACACACACACACACATATATATATATATATAAAACAAATGACGTCATTTGTTTATATATATATATATATATATATATATATATATAAATGACGTCATTTGTAAACATTTGATACGCCATGAGCAGTTATGAATGTACGAGATTCATGGAAGATTGAAGTTTATAAGAAATAAATTCAACCTTGCCTACCGAACGCTCCTTTGTGGCCTAGTCGGTTTTATATCAGCGTAAATGACGGTTCCGTATAGGATGCAGGTTCGAATCCTGTCAAAGGACGAATATTTTCTATGAAAATTTCTCGGACATTCAGGACGTTATTTAATACTGTTTATTATAAACTGAGCATTTACCTAAATACTTGTATCTATAAAAAGAAATTAAACATAAAACATAAAATATATTTATATATATATATATATATATATATATATATATATATATATGGTGGACTCTCCGATTGTATTCGACGTATGAGCGTCAGGCAAAGACACCAGTACATACTATTTGATTATAGTGGTGAAGGCTTTGTGCAGAACCAACCACACTTATTGAAGGGCCGAATACAGAGACACAAGATTCCCAAACGACCCGCCGCAGGTTTTGAATTCAAATTCCTAGACCGGTTTCCATCCAAGGCTATAGAACACAGTCTATCCTGCTTTTTACCCATAGCTGGAGGTAGAAGAAGAGGATTAATACTTTACCCAAGGGTATTAACACGTAGGTGAATGTAATTAATTCGACTAGAATTCGAACTCGGCTTTCTGATTCCTCAATCCGAGCCTCCTAGTCAGTTATGTGACAAGGTGATCATGTATCTTTTGATACATGACTGACGAGGCAGATTATTTTTTCCTGAGTAGGTTCCCATTCTGTCTGCGGTAGACCAGTTGGAATCCAAAGCTATTGAACCCAGTCTGTTCTACTATTTACCCATAGCTGGAGGAAGAATAGGATTCAAACCTTTTCACAAGGGTATTAACACGTAAGTGAATGCAATGGATTCGACTGGAATTCGAACTCCGAATTCTCCGAATCCTCAATCCGAGCCGCTTTAGACAAGTCCACCGTGGAGAGAGGGAGAGAAAGAGAGAGAGGTAGGAAGAGAGAGAGTGTATATGTATATATATATATATATATATATATATATATAAGAAAGAGGTTGTAGTGGTTCCAACAAGAGAAAATTATGTATATTAAAAAGAAGAGAAGAGAGGTGCCGCAAACGTTTTTGGTTGTAATGTGGATTTATTTAGAAAAAAAATATTATGCTTTGTTTTACATAATTGTACGACACGTGTTTCTGGTCTCGTGACCGTCTTCAGGTAAAAGCGGAGATTTCCACATACTATTAAAAATAATTAATTTTTTCCTTATGTTCAATGTTAAATATTCTCGATATGAGACATTCTCTGTTTGTGTGTTGGTAATCCGAATTTCTTTCTTGAATATATATATATATATATATATATATATATATATATATAGATATATATATATATATATATATAATGAGATAGATATGAAAATACTTAGAGGCAACAGTCTGTTTTAATGCTAGACGCAATCGTCATTACGAGGATTGCGTCTAGCATGTAACAGACTGTCGCCTCTAAGTGTTGACTTATATGTTCACTTTATATTTATTATCGCCTCTATTGAGCACTTTATCCCATAAATATAGCACATGTTAAGACAATATTTATTCATATATATATATATATATATATATATATATATATATATATATATCTCAGAAAGAAATCCTTTGCATATTCTCGAACAGAACTATCTTACACACACACACACACACACACACACACACACACACACATATATATATATATATATATATATATATATATATATAGAGACACACACATATATATATATATATATATGAGAGATCGGATATATTAAAGATTTCAGACATTACATGTACTATTAAATGCTGTAAGCCTGAAAGAAAAATAACATGAATGATGAAGCAGTTGAAATTTAAAAATAACTACAATGCTTCATCTAAGATATTCAGACGCCTTAAGACTATTATATCTGCTACTACTAGGCGTAAGCAAGGAACAATGATAGTAACGTGAACGCTTTATTTAAGTATTTCAAGCAACTTGAGACTATTACATCTGTTAATACTACGTAATGTAGATAAGCAACAAAAATAAGATGGGAGAAAAACTAGTTAAAAATTAATAATGATATTGTTGAGGATGTGCAGAATTTATTAATTATAATTGAGAGAATCAGAAGGAATTTGTGTAGGTCGCGTGACTTTCTGCATCCACAAAGAAATAAACGAATTTTAAATACAATCAAAAACAAGACATATTCAATTTAGAAACCAATAAAACATTTATATACAATTAAAAGTAATATATATACAGGATATTTTGGTATATGTTACGATGGCAAAGTATGTGTGATATTTTAGGTTTCGGTATGTCTCTCTTAGTATTCGTTTGTTCATTTACAGTCTTTCTAGATTTGTGTTGATATTAAAAATGTCGATATTAAGTGTTTTTTGGAAGGAGTTCTTATGGAGTGGTCTACCTTTGACTGTAATATTTCTGAATCGTTCGTATGTTGATTTTTACTTAATAATGTAGTGAGTATAGTTCACTTTGGATAAGCAAAGTTGTTTTAGGTTTGCGATTTGATGTCCACAGAGTTGGTCGAGTTTAAGTTGCAAGTGAGTCAGCGTTGATGTAAAATCGTGATTTCGAGTAACGTGGAGTATGTTGGCAATTTCTCTGTGGCTGTTCGTCTCTGACTGTTTTGGTCAGTCGGCATTTTCTTTTATATGTTTTGAAAGTCCAAAATCGGCTCAAAGAAGTTTTGGCGCAATTTCGTTTTGCACGTGAAACTTTCAGATTATTGTGTCGTTAACCAATGAGATTTGTTGATTCGCCTAGTACGGTTTTTATTGGTCGAAGTTTTCCGTACGTAGGTGTAAGATATAGACTGTTCTGTTACTAGGGGTGGTAGGTAGGAAAGGACGAGTCTACAATATCATCATTTAAAAAAAATCCTTTTCATTCTTCAAAAAAAAATTAGACAATTTAAGACTATTACATACGTTGCTACTCTGAGTTGCAATCAAGAAACAAAATAACATGAAAGATAATGTTCTTAATTAATTAATAATAATGAAAATGCTTCATCTGAGACAATTTACGTCTATTACCAAGTTATTACGACTAACTCTGAGCAAGCAACAAAAATAAGATGAAAGAAAAATTATTCAACGATGAATAATAATGACACTGCTTTACGTAATAGTTCGGATAAACTAAGAACGATGTTTCTAAGCTAAAACTCCGAGACGTGCACGGCACAAGCTTAAAATCCGACCGAGCAAATGATTTTTTTTCTTCTTGTCCGAAAGCTCTGCTTGATTCGCCCACATAATGTTTGGACATTTTTTTTTTTATAATTCTTTCTCTGTTTCGTCAATGTTTTCATCTGTTGTTTCTAAAAAAAAAACAATCTTATATATATGTGATTGATGGTTATTAGCGAAGTCGTTTTGCTAATAATTAAAAAGAGGATAAAAAAGATGTTAAAAAGACGTTTCTATTTTGGATATCTGAAAAAAAAATTAAATAAGAGGTGATGGGATATAAAAAGTACGCTATACAAAGTCAAATGACAGTTGATTGAAAGAAAGGAAGAAAGATACAAAGGCAAAAAGAACGATTTGGAGGAGAAAAGGAGGAAGAGAAGTCAGTAGTTATAAAATGGTATGGGGAAAGAAAATGGAAAGATGAGTAAAAGAAAAAAGGATGGAAATGCTGTGAACAAGGAGATGAAATCCGCAAAAAATCACGAAAAAAGCACTCTGCACACACACACACACACACACACACACACACACACATATACATATATATATATATATATATATATATATATATATATATATATATCGGTGGAACAGTGGGTGAAAGAAAGATGTGTAGTAAAGATAGGGAAAAGGAGAAAATAAATTGAAAATACAAATATGGCAAGAGAGGCAAACAAAAAAAAGAAAATTCAAAGAAAGATGCAGGTCGTATAAGAAGATAAACGAAATATAAAATAAAACCGTTCAAAGAAAGAAAGAAAGGAAGGAAAGATAGGAAGAGAGAAGGAAGATAAAAAAGAAAGAAAGAAAGAAAGAAGAAAAGAAAGAGATAGTTACTTTTACTAATTTTGTCATATATACATTTGTATCTATATTCAAGGGAGAGAAAGAAAAAAAAACAAAAAAGAAAAGAAAGAAAGAAAGAAAGAAAGA